TCCAGGCACCATTCTATGGTATGATGTTGGGATGTGTATCTCAGGGATTTCGTCAATTGATGACCATTGGTGAAAAAAATAGAAAGTCGTCTGAGAAGCGGCAAAAGTCTTAAGGATCCAACTCAGCACATAACTCGAGATTACACTGCAGATAAAAGGGTGGAAGGTGATGCATCATTCATTGAAACCTTAAACCAACGTCAATCGCATTATCATCCCCAATAACATTATCCTAATACTCACAATAAAGAAGGAACATCTCGAAAGCGGAAGAGAAAAAGTCATTATGATGCAATCCCCATGTCTTACTTTGAGTTGCTGCCTTAACTTGTTCATAGGGGTTTGTTAACTATCCTCCCCTTTAAGGAGGTGGTGCCTCCATATCCAAATGGTTTCAACCCGAATGCTTGTTGTGTGTATCCTGGAGGGACATCAGGACATCCGACATAGGATTGCAATCAATTAAAGGGCAAGGTGCGCGACCTGGTTAATCAAGGGTTGGTCAAGTTTCAAGGAAATGTTTTGATCTGAGAAAGACTCGAAGAAAAATCCGTTCATGAGCAACGTATCCCAACAAAATGTTATTTCTCAAATTATATTGTAGTATACCCTCTTGTCTCCACCCAAGGCTTTAGGGTTGCAAAATAAAGGATTTCATGTTTCATTCTTATGAATAAAATTATTTCATATTGCATGTTTTTTTAACAAGTATATACTAGCACATTGATCATGCAAATTTAGCACCTCATATTCTCATCTCCATAAACCATATCCACTCAAAAAATAAATTCATGTATTAAAATGAGATACTAAAATTTTAAAACATAAAAAGTGGAGGATGATGCAAATATAATTCCAAAGTGGCATGGATCATTAGGTAGATTTTTCCAATGACACAAGGCTTCCTTGACAATTCTCAAACACTAAGAAGATATCCCTAGTCACCCCATTTGAGCCATGGACATTATGAATGTAGGTTTATTTTGATTGATCCATAAATTGTCAATATCCTAGGGAGGGTAGTTTTGTTTCATGTGTTTTCCTTGACATCCAATTATTAGGGAATGAATAAATTTTTCATACATCATTACCCAATCCGACCCGAAGGATAAAAATAAAATTCAAGTCAAACAAAATGATTCATTGGTCAAAAGTGCAAAATGAATTACACAAAAAATGCCTGCTGAGAGTCTTCAATATCTCAGGCAAAAGTTAAGGCAAATGAAATACATTGTTAAAGACCAACAAAAGAAATTTTCAGATTCTATCGGGTTATGTTACAACATTGACCTATTACATTACAAATATCAAATAGAATCCTAAATAATTGAATGTCATGACGGAAAACTATTGAAAATAGGACAAGGGGAGAAGATGGAAGAGAAATGGGTGTGGGAAACACATATTTGAGCCTTATATCCTTTTCTTGGAAACCCTTAGCTAGACCACGATACAAACTAAAAAAGACCTTGTTGAGGATCTATTTGCTTAAAGACTCACACCATGAAAAAAAAAAATCGCCGACTCCACTAAGTTTAATTTTTGATAAAAAAAATATATCTCACGTTTAGTGCATGAAATACTTTCACTCTTAAAAAATCACCATCACCATCATCACATCAATACTTAAAACCCAAATCCAATTTCAATTTCATATTCAATTCTTCCATCACCACTCATAGCCCAAACACTAGCCAAGTTTGTATGATCATTGTTTTAGTATTTTTTTTAAAAGATTTAAGCATGAAATAAAGATCACTACATCAAAGGAGAGGTAGTCACCCATACTGGGGCAGTTTTTAGAATGATTCTAGCGGAAGTCCTCTCAAATTAAAGCATATCAAAACAACTTGAATAGAAGGATACCCCCCAACATCTCATACTGGGGCAGTTTTTGGGGGTGGGTCTCATTTTCTCTAATTGAACAGTTTAATGAAACCCAAATTTGGGGCAAATATACATAAAGGTGTTCAAAATCAAGAAAACAACAAAAAAACAAAACAAAAAGAGTGTTAGGTTGAAAACCCGCAAGGGCGACCTAGGAAAAGGAGAGCGGTACTAAGTCGAAAACCTGAAAAGGCGATTTAGTATCATTACAAAAGAGAGAATTCCCGACAGATACATACATCAGGTATTCTGGGCAAAAATTAAGGAAAGTAAAGGAATACCATTATGCAAATGCCCATTCTAGTTTAAGCAAACTGGGGCAATACAATTATTTTCTCCGGAAAAAAAATGAATCACACTCCCACGTCCTAATGGTGAAGTTCCAAACAACTTATATTGGGATAGTATTATTAGGATTAACTGTTCCTCTCTATACAACATTGGGGCAATAAACCATCAGGAAATTATCTTTGTCAACAAAATGGGTTCATTTTAGTCAAGCTCAAAAAGTTCACATATCATAGACAATTCATGAGCGCACTAGAACATTGATGCATAATTCTCACCTTTCATTTCATTAAAATTACATTCACAACTCATGCATGACATCATTACATACATCACACATAACATACTTTCAAACACTCACTTATTACTTTAAATTCATCAAAATTCAAACTTTTCGGGTCCTGTACCTCAACGTGAAACTAAACTTTCAGGCCCGGTACCTGATTATTTTATAAAATCTATAATTTTGAGGACCCCCGTGCTTGACGACCTCAAAATTATAAGATTGAGGACCCCCGTGCTTGACGACGTCAATCTATGCCTTCGAGGGCCCCGTGCTTGACGACCTCGAAGTCATTATTTACAGGCATCGTGCCTAACTATTTTATAAAATCTATAATTTTGAGGACCCCCGTGCTTGACGACCTCAAAATTATAAGATTGAGGACCCCCGTGCTTGACGACCTCAATCTATGCCTTCGAGGGCTCCGTGCTTGACGACCTCGAAGTCATTATTTACAGGCATCGTGCCTAGCTATTTTATAAAATCTATAAGATTGAGGACCCACGTGCTTGACGACCTCAAAATTATAAGATTGAGGACCCCCGTGCTTGACGACCTCAATCTATGCCTTCGAGGGCTCCGTGCTTGACGACCTCGAAGTCATTATTTACAGGCATCGTGCCTAGCTATTTTATAAAATCTATAAGATTGAGGACCCCCGTGCTTGACGACCTCAATCTATGCCTTCGAGGGCTCCGTGCTTGACGACCTCGAAGTCATTATTTACAGGCATCGTGCCTAGCTATTTTATAAAATCTATAAGATTGAGGACCCCTCGTGCTTGACGACCTCAATCTATGCCTTCGAGGGCCCCGTGCTTGACGACCTCGAAGTCATTATTTACAGGCATCGTGCCTAGCTATTTTATAAAATCTATAATTTTGAGGACCCCCGTGCTTGACGACCTCAATCTATGCCTTCGAGGGCCCCGTGCTTGACGACCTAGAAGTCATTATTCTCAGGCCTAGTGCCTAACTATTTTATAAAATCTATAATTTTGAGGACCCCCGTGCTTGACGACCTCAAAATTATAAGATTGAGGAGCCCGTGCTTGACGACCTCAATCTATGCCTTCGAGGGCCCCGTGCTTGACGACCTCGAAGTCATTATTCTCAGGCATAGTGCCTAACTATTTAGTAAAATCTATAATTTTAGGACCCCCGTGCTTGACGACTTCAAAATTATAAGATTGAGGACCCCCGTGCTTGACGACCTCAATCTATGCCTTCGAGGGTCTCACGCTAGACGACCTCAAAGTCATTATTTACGGGCCCGGTGCCTGGCTATTTTAGAAATAAATAAATAAGAGATTTTTAGTGTTGAGGGCCATGCGCTGAGCACCCTAAAAAAAAAGAGGGTGGTACCTAATCCTCACATTTTCAATATAAAGGTTTTTTTTGTGCCTCATCAAAATTGGCACTCTTTTCTTTACTAGTCGTTTATTGCAACAAGACTCAAACCTCAGTTTGTATATTGTCACACAAACAACAAGTAAAGAGGGGCAGCTGTGAGTACCCAATTTTGTCCGGCCAAAAATATATATTCTCAAATAAATAAGTAACAATATCAATGTATTTATCCCCCCAATTACACAAGTTTAAAAATTAGTGTTGTTACAACTTTTGATATACAGAAATAAAGACAACAATTGATAATACAATAATTTAAACCAATACAATAATTACACTTCAATTATGCAAATCAATCCATTAATTCACACGATAAGCATTATGCCAAATTCAAGCGATAAAATTACAATATGCAATAGATAAGACGTGCATCTTTTGGCCATAAAAAAAAAACATATCCAGTCATTAAAGGAGATAACAGATTTTCTCCATTAACTACACCATATTATGTTAGTAAGAAGTTTTCCCCCACATTCTGCACATATACCACCTCTTTTGGCTTAAATATAGACCACATTCAATCCCTGAAAAGGAAGGAAAATCAAATCAATAACAAAACATCATTAAGGCGATAATCAGCATTTATAGACAATAATTAGCATAACATAAAAAGAGGATATCAATAAGGAAATTAGAATGAAAGTGGAAATAAAACCATAGCATAAAGGAGAGGCATTAACGTATTGATTGTCAATTAAGAAAAGAAATTGCAAATATGGAAAGGAATCCAAAAAAAGAGGAAATTGAAAAGGGAAATATTGAAAATATTATAATCTATATATAGAGCAAGATTAACTTAGAGATACGGAGGGAGAAATTAAATACACACAAATAAACACCAGACATAGACACACATAAATCAACAAAAGATAGACAGAAACCAACACCTAAAAGGAGGAAAGCACAACCATTCTCAACCCATAATTCCTTCGAACCCAGTAACCATATTACCATTACCCTCAAAGAAATCACAACAATCAAAAGGCTTCTAACATTAATCCACAAATCTTCCATTTCTTCTCTCAACCACAACAAATCCAGAAACAGCACACACAACAACCCATGATCCCATGAACATACACAAAAAGTCACAGATGCTCACTTGATTTAAAAGTCATATAATCAAGGTCAAGTGAGATGTATCTGTAAAAAAGGGGATAGCAATGAGGAAATTCAATCATTTCAGATGGAAAGGATGATAAAAGGATTTTTAGCAGGCGAGACCAGGTTATCATCGTTACCACATCTTTAAAAAGCTTTCATATAACATCATTGTTAATGCATTCCATATAAAATTAATCACATACTCCTCATTGTTAATGCATTCATAAAACATCCTTTCTCACTGTTTATATCACTCACATACTTAATATTAATCACATACAATCTCTCTAATCATTGCTTATACTAAGGTCATTCCCATCACAATTCTATACACTCATAAGCTTTTCTTGCAATGGCTAAACATAAGCAGTATATAATCTCAATCAATTAATGGTGTAATGCTATAAATATTTCTTTTAAAAATAATAACAATAAATAATATTTAAAAATTAAATATTTGAAATATTCTTAATAACTCATTTTAAAAAATGTAATAATAAGATTATGATTGGTGTAATATCTTACTTCGAGCCGAGAACCGGTCGCGGTCACTTGTACTGCTTCTGCTATTTATCGAAGTAAGAAAATAATTAATGTTAAATTTTCATTAATAAAAATTCTCTTTAAAAATATTTAAGTTATTTTAAAAAATAAAAATGTTTTTGGGATTCAATAGCGAGGTTACAACTCGTATTGCATCTTTCTAATCACTTCGAGCCGAGAACCGGTCGCGGTCACTTGTACTGCTTCTGCTATTTATCAAAGTGAGAAGAGGGTAAGTAGTCAATGTTGACTCGTCGTCTATTAGTCTCACCTCAATTAAACTCAAACCAATTTTTTAATAACTCTCAATCAAACAATTTTTAATCAAACCAAACTAACAAACGATTTTCTTAAAGAACTACGTAGTCTTGATTTCCCTATTGCATCTAGGGATACGTAGGAGCAAGATAAACTCTTGTCAGACACAAAAATAAAAAACAAACATTTCGTTTTAATCAATTTAATTTTAATAAATAAGGGTAAATTAAAAGCATGCAATTAGTTAGGGTACCGTTTTATAACGGGCGAACAGGGTGCTAATACCTTCCCTGATTCGTAATCGACTCCCGAACTTACGACTCTGGTTTAAAAGACCAATTTTATCCAATTCGGGCACAATTCGAGTTTTCCACGTTTTAACCGCAAAAGACGTGGTGGCGACTCCTCAAGAGGTCGCGTGGCCGAAAATCCGGGCGCGACAGGAAGTTTCTTCATTTTTCTAAAAAGAGATGTGCAACTTTTCATGGAAGTTAACCTAATCATATTCTTTTACCTTTAATTCCATGTTATGGTATAAACAAAACATTATTGTTATCTAATTAAAATATACTATGAGTACAATTTTTTTCATCTTATACTTTCATTGAATTTGTCAACCATTACATATGTTATATATTTATTAAAAAATGGCATCAGATTTTATTAATTCTCTCTCAAATGTATCCTACAAGTTAATAATACCTCAAAAACACTAATATATGTTTGGATTTTCAATGGACCATTTCCCATGTCACATAGGTGAATTTTATTAATTGTTAATTAAATATAATAAAATGTCATAAATTCTAACATTTTGTTTTCTTTTCTATTTACATCCACATAAACTTTTCAAGTACTAAAATGATCATTTATATGAATTATGGATAATTATGGAATAATAACAGTTGGAGAAAATTACTCTCGAATTTAAGAGTAATTAGTGTGAATAATGAAAGATAAAAATTCATATAAAAATACATAGTAGAATAATAATAAATGAAAATTCATAAGGGGTAGAAACTACAAAAGTTAATAATGACAATATATTGTGTTATACTGTTGTAATCGAATAAGTGAACAAATATCGACAACGTTGAATAAATATCGCCGATTAGTTGCAAACTAATTAATAATTACTTTGAATAAATATTTTCGACCATTATGAAATAAATAAAACTGATGAACATAAGAGAATAGAAAGACATGTTTTCATTTATTGTGATGCTTATTGGTGAGATCGATGATGCTATTCAAGCTGGAAAAAAATCTATTTTAATCACTACATGCAATAATGGGATATAGTTATAACAATTCGTATTGGGCATGCAATAATTTCTAGTTAAAAATTGATGATATTGAAAATGATCTTTATATTCTGAAATAATAAAGAAACATTATAAGGAAATAATAGTGATAAAGTTGACTTGCTGATTTTAGTTTTTGAGTTGTTTAATTTAGCTATTTATTCTATTCATTTATAATTTGTGGTGGTTTTCATTCTCATCAATAACGAAAATGCTAATGATGGAGCATAAAATATGTCATTTGTTTCATACTTTTCGATCTTTTAATTTTTATTGTTGTTTTAAATCTGTATTTGTTTTATAAACTCAATAAATATTTATAATTTACTTTTCAATTATATCATTATCCATATTTTTTTATTTCTTCTTAATTTAGTTTTCAATGTGCATTAAATAAGGTTATTTTAGTTATATTGTATTTAATTTTTACATAATTTAGTGATTTCTTAAATTGTGTGCATAACTTTAAATTTGAAAAGTTTTGTAAAAAGTAGTATATTGGACAAAATATTGTTGGATGCATTTGTTTCGTTAAAATGGACGTTCAAATCACCCTCGGTCTCAATCTTACATTGACTTCGAGATTAAGAATTGGTGTGATGATGAAAAAAATGGTCATTTTTCATATATAAATATTTGCGAATAACTATTACTTATTATTGGCATGCCATTATTTTTGGTAAAATGTCAGGTAGCGACTTATTATAGTGAAAATTTAGTGATGTGCTATATGAGGTCCATGTTATTTTGACAATTGTGTTGAGTATCAACGAGCGTGCAAATTATCAAAAGGTAGGAAGTGGTGGAGAATGTTTTGGTTTGCAGCCTTTGGTCTATCTGGCTCATGAGGAATGATGTTATATTTTCTGGTAAGGAGTTTAGCTATATTTGAATCGTGGATTTGATCCAAGTTAGATTTTAGACTTAATTGGCCATGTTACAGTGGTGGTGTTAATATTATAGATTTTGCTAATTGTGTAGTAACCCTAGGTCGTGTATTCAACATCTTTCTAGTGCAAATTGTTAGAGATCGTGCTCTTGTTGTATATGGGTTAACACACCCCTTATGCCTTTTCAATTATATTTTTGCTTATAAAAAAACAAGCATGCAATTACACCAACTTCCCTTTAGACTTGTGCCTCGCTATATTACTAATGGGTAACAATTTAAAATTTTATTTGATTAGCATAAAAATGAAGGAGGCCAAACGATAGTTTACCGAAGAAAAGTATTATGAGAAAAAGAAAGTAAATCGTATTAATGTGACAGAGATACAAATTAGAATAGGCCGGTCGAGGATATCCGAAATAATCGGAAATATACAAAGATAGAGAGTAGAAAAACAAAACAAGTGCAATAATAAGTGTTATATATTGGTAATGACATACATTCAATTACCAAATCTTGAATTTATTCAAACCATATTGTTTATTTCACTCAAGAGAACATTATAAATCTTGGTATCAAGGTATGTGAATTGTGGAATCATTAAGTGGGTTCCAGTATCTATTGAACAACCACAATTTATCAGCCTCCACAGCATATCCATCTTGATTCCTGTTCCAGCTATAGTGAGCATGTGTTCGATTTTTTATTGCAAAAATGCCATGTCCAAAGCTTGCCTCTCTATATGCTGAGTATGAAGGTTGTGGTTGTTTCATGCTGTAAAAGAAATCATGTTTAAATCTGAATGGTCGACATAAAAGTAACTATTATTATTTTATACAACTTACGTTGCTAAGCCTTCTAGGTTTCCTCCATCCCCATTGGTTATATATATAGGAGCTGTTATATCTTCCACAGGAGTACAAATACCATTTGTAATATTATATTTGTTATTTGAGACGCGTTCCTGATACATAAACAAATAGATTCTCACCGGAAACAAGACCAAAATCCTTTTTTTGGGGAGGAAAGCATATCAATTATAAACTTAAACGAATGTGAATGTTAGTGAAATGAATTATATGTACAAATCTCTATTTTGTGTATTTACTAACAATAACAAACACTTTATTGTATAGTTATCTTTTCAAGTTTGAAGGGATGCATAATGATACATGATTTATACTTGTGGTTTTCAAAGGCATGATGTGATTAAAAGAATAATTGACGTTTTAAATAGCTTAATGAGGTGGAGCATTAGCACTTACAGATCGTTCATATGCATGAACATGACCAGCAAACACAACATCAACCTTGTATTTCAGAAACAAGGACTCATATATTACTCTCATTGGTTCTCCTTCCATATAATGATTATTGTAGCTATTATACCAAGGTGCATGCATGAGAACGATCAACCAGGAAGTCTCTGACCTATTAACTTTTGGCAATTCTGCTGTAAGCCATTTGTATTGCAAGGTAGAATATCCTAAAAATGAAGATTCCATTTTGTTGAGATATATGTATATATATATATATACCACTATAAGATATCAACATTACAATTTATGCACGCATTTAATCCAAGCAATTACATAGTGCAACTGAAAACAAACCAAGTTTATATGTTTGCTAACTCACACACACCATAGAACATGATGCTTTACTAGTTATAGATAAATGCTACTATGAGATGCATCACAATCACAATTAAAAGTGTTCTCCATATATATTTACGTATCATGCAAATTCACGTATTTGGCCTTACCAAAAGCTGAGTATGTTGCCAATACAATAACATGTGCTGGGCCTCTCTTGATTGAATAATAGAACGGTTCAGTGCTTTGTGATGCTTCATAAGGAGTATGGTAACGAGTGGAAAAAGGCTTAAATGGTTGTGTTTCCCCCTGTAATAAATTACCAATATATGTCAAAGCATTACTATTTACTAACATTTGGAGTTGAAAAATGCAATCAATATATGTCAAAATATTACTATTTACTTTTATTTGGAGTTGAAAAATGCGTTACACAACCGTTATGATTTATTGTTAAAAACATAATAATGAAAAAATTATATAGCTCTTCTAAAAGTTAACAACAAATTAAATCTATTACTGGCAGAAGTTTACAATTTGTAGATCAAAATCAATTTCATGGTTTCCTGCGGTCCATATCCAAGGTTGATAAGCAGCACTTCTTTCTGTAAACCTTCCCCAGGTGTCCCACCTAACATTATCATGATATGGATAGTCATCTGCATAAGAAAGGTCTCCAACATACAGTAGGGCCGTTCCGTTACTGTTTTGATAGTGAGTGAGGGTCGTATTTGAATCAAAAGTCTGACCAAGATCCCCTACAAATAGTGCCATATAAAGGAATTGAGATAATATTGTGAGGATTTGTTGATCGAGGAAGCAAAAATAGCAAAATCAATAAGGTCAATGAGGATCCTGTGTGACACTTGGTTCATTATACAAAATCTTTTTGGATTGGGATATTTCTAAAGTTCATAGGTTTATTTGTTTGTGATTTGCTCCCTTTAATGTTTAGGAATATCATTTAATCATGTTTCTATTATAACTTGAGATGTTTGTTGTGAAGTTTCTTCTTATAAGAAATGCAATAATAAAATGTCAACTATGAATAATAATAGTACATACCTATGATACCAAATGTGTATGGCACATCAAGACCAACTTCAGGAGGAGTTATAAACCAAAACTGCCGTGTGGTGTTTCCAATTCCAACCTCATAGTAATATGTAGTGTCAAACTGCCCATAAATCAAAGCACGTAAAATATAGGAGTATCAGCAAAAATTGATGCAAGAGAAACATTGATGGAATAGAATATAGAGTGAGTACCTCCAAATTTGTGATGGTGGTGTGATGAATAAAACCAGAAGTGTAATTGTAGTACGTGTAAGTAAAAACTTCTCCTTCAGCTGTGAAATTTTGGAGACTACTATCACTCCAATAAATGACTTGGTTGGAGCCAGGTTCATCCACTGTGACCCATGATATGATCATTGCTTGGCCCACAAGGTCACCTTGTGTTATATGAACCTGCTGGGGGGCATTATAACCAGGAGGAATAGCGAAGGCATCACTATCAAGTGGCATATCCACTGGCTTCTCAATAAGATTCCTCACATAAGTGCTGGTCTTGCCTCCATTGCAAACAACCACTACACTCATCAACAAAGCTATTGCAACAAAACTACTATAACCCATTTTCATTTCTGAATCCTATTGATTCTCAAGGCCACACTACTTTTTCTCGATGTGCATGCTTGATGTATATATGTGGTTTGGTGTGGTGTATTTATAGTCATTTGTTATTAGTATAATAGAATGCAAACGTAGTAACATCAGCATATTACCAGGAATATTCAGACAACATAAGAGGTCAACTAAATAACGTGTCCTTGTAGGAAATATAATCTTGTATGTAGCATTGGTTGTTTCATGCTTTACTTCCAAAACAATGGACAGCTTCGGCTAAGACTTGACTTTTGGCTTTGAGCCGCTGCTTATATAAGCATGGTTGAGGCCAAGCACATTCATAATAATAACAATAAAGGGGGTCCAAACCGGTCCAAAAATAAAACCGAAAACTGATCCAAAATAGAGCAAAACTGCAAAAACCGAATGTGTTTTGATTTTATTTGATTTATTTTTTAAAGACCGATCGGTCTAGTCCGGTTTTCGATTTCACCTCTTGGATCCAGACCGGACCGAAATTATTTAGGTGCGTAACCCTTTTAAGTATCTTCCGGACTTAGCAGATGAAGCTTTAGTATTCGCACAAAATTGGTTTCGCTCGTCCTCAATTGCAACGGATGTTGAAGAGCTATCGGAAGACTTAGAAAAACTTGGGAAATATATTTTATTTATTTATTAAATTCTGTAACACATGTATACGTTGCTATTTTTTTTTAAATCATATTGATTAATTTGATACATTTTTAAGAACTTGAACCAATCCCGCAACAAAAAGAAGAAGATTTTAGTGCTACTCTGATTAGATACATTATTATCAAGTTTAATGCCCTAATAGTTTTATTGTCATTAGTCATCCTTGAGCACTATCTAGCTAATTGTTTAAATTATGTTGCTTGCTCATACTGATGTTGTTGATGTCTTGTTGTTCTTGTTGTTGCAGTTGCTATTGATGTTTAATTTATTGTTGTTGTTCACTTTACTGTTATTGTCGTGGTGTTTTTGTTGTTTTTTGCTACTATTAACTTTTAATGCCGTGGACATTTTTTTAATGTTATTTTGATGTTGTTGAACACTATTTTTTTATGTTTAATATTTAGTCATTTTGAATGAGTGTCGAGTGTATGTGTTATTTAATTCTTTTATTTAAAAAAACAGATCCAAATCGAACCGAAACTATATATAATATATGGACAGATTGGATTGGACATCATAATATAAACAGATCAGATCAGACTGCACCACATGTTAATTACATGTTTGGATCATATGATTATTTGCCTAAAAAGCGATCCAAATGGACCGCGAACACCCCTAATGCATGCTAGTACTAGGTGAAGAAAATAAACAGACAATGAAAAGATATTAGCTGATTAACTTAAAGAACTCAAACACGGTAATACAGCTATTTTTTTATGGCATTCCTATCTATTTATGATTATTTTGATCTAGTTTATAGGTTAATGTTTCTAATGTATAACTTCTCAATAAAAATATCAAATACTTACGATTTAAACATATAAGAAAAACCTAACTCAAAAGTTTGGTCTATTTAATAGAAGAGCTCAACACTTACATGCCTACCATATTAAAATTATATTTTCATTCAAGTAGGACTCCAAATAAAACCCAACCAGTCCCATTACAAATGCTCGGTACATTATCCAAAATGTCATCACCTAGATAAAATGGATATAAAAGTAACGAGGCCATAAAAATTAAGAAATATAATAAC